GAGTTGGCCACTTAAATAAAAATTGCATGTATTTATTAGTCCAGGTCCCCTTACAACATGCTCTCTATCACCTGAACTTCAGACAATGGCTGTACTTTCCTGCAAATAAACTCTTCGTTTTGGAATGATTTCAGACCTACAGAGAAGTTGAGAAGAGAGAGCGTCCTCGCAGCCCGGCCGGCCAGCCTCCTCGGGACGTGTCGCGTGAGCGGCGTGTGTGTGGAGGGATGGACCGTGGCACGCCGCTGCTGCGCACTGAGCTCCAGGTGCGCCGGCTTCCGTCTGTTTCCTCCAATGTCCTTCCCGTGTGCCAGGGCCCCACGCTGCCTTGGGAAATCTGGTGTTTTACACCTGGCTGTGCCTCCCTGGTTTCTGCGCAGAAACCGAAAGGCCAGGGGGATGGGAGGGGGAGCCGGGCTTCTGTCCTTGCAAACAGTTCTCCTCAGTGCACGCTTCACGTGGGGCCTTGGCACGGTGGGGACTCAGGCCAGGTGGGCTGTGACCAGGACGAGGTGCCTCAGTGACACGCCTGTGCTGGCCTCTGGAGGGGCCCCGGGCGAAGGGCATGGCGGCAGAGGGGACTCAGGGAAGCTCCTTTTAGCAGAGGCTGCTACGGGGCGCTGAGAGCAATTCCATCGGCAGCATTTTGATTTGGATGGGACAATCCCGGAACACCCAGGTGCCCGCAGACGTGAACAGTCAAGACCTCTGAGAACTGAGTGGCCCAGGAATGCAGGGACAGGGACGCCCCAGACCCCGGGATTCCTGCCTTCCCTTCCCGGCCTGGCTCAGTCTGAGTGGAGCCCCCTCCCCTCCAGCGTCTCTGGATGCAGAGTGACCTTCCTGAAACTGACTCAGAGCTCACGACTTTCTTGCATCCTTCTTGCCGGCGGGGCCCTAAATGCAATGGCCAGTGTCCTTATAAGAGACAGAAAAGGTCACATAGAGAGACACAGGGGAACAGGCCACGTGAAGACGGGGGCACAGAGTGGAGTGATGTGGC